AGAATGCCCAAATTGGTTTATCATCATATGGTGATCTGCGGAATGAGGACGACACTCAAAATTACTTGATAGACATCAACAAAGGAGACAACAATCATCAACAAGTCAAAACAGAGAATGCCCAAATTGGTTTATCATCATATGGTGATCTGCGGAATGAGGACGACACTCAAAATTACTTGATAGACATCAACAAAGGAGACAACAATCATCAACAAGTCAAAACAGAGAATGCCCAAATTGGTTTATCATCATATGGTGATCTGCGGAATGAGGACGACACTCAAAATTACTTGATAGACATCAACAAAGGAGACAACAATCATCAACAAGTCAAAACAGAGAATGCCCAAATTGGTTTATCATCATATGGTGATCTGCGGAATGAGGACGACACTCAAAATTACTTGATAGACATCAACAAAGGAGACAACAATCATCAACAAGTCAAAACAGAGAATGCCCAAATTGGTTTATCATCATATGGTGATCTGCGGAATGAGGACGACACTCAAAATTACTTGATAGACATCAACAAAGGAGACAACAATCATCAACAAGCCAAAACAGATGATGCCCAAATTGGTATCTCATCATATGGTGACTTGCAGAATAAGGACGACACGCAAAATACGCTGATATACAACAATCATCAAGAAGCAAAAACAGAGAATGCACATATCCATTCATCATCCCACATTGATCCTTCTTTAAGAGTTTTCTTCCTTATGGACGATCTAAAGCTAAGAAAAGAAATATTTATCTCCTTTCCAAGAAGGGATCTTTATCCCTCTCCAAAATTCTTGAGCAAGGAAGAAGCTAATTCCATTCCATTTTCACTAAAGGAACTCCCAAACCTCCTTCAACGTTTCTCATTCTCTCGTAACTCTCCAGAGGCGAAAGTTATGGAAGAAACACTGAAAGTATGTGGGATTCCACCTATAAAAGGAGAAACAAAGTACTGTGCCACATCACCAAAGGCAATGGTTGATTTTGTTCAAGAAATAATGGGAGATAAAACAGAAATCAAAGCTCTATCCACAACTCATTTCTCAAATTCAACTCCCCTGCTTCAAAAGTATATTATTTTGGATACTCCAGAAGAAGTAGAAACTCCTAAGATGGTGGCATGTCATACCATGCCTTACGCTTACGCGATTTTCTACTGTCATCACACAGTTAGCAAGAGCAAAGTGTTCAAGGTTTCATTAGGTGGCGAAAATGGTGATAAAGTGAAAGCAATTGCTGTTTGTCACTTGGATACCTCTGAATGGAGTCCATCTCACGTATCTTTTCGAGTGCTCGGTATATCATCAGGAACATGCCCAATTTGTCACTTTTTTCCATCAGATAATCTACTCTGGGTTCCAAAATTCGCCATTGCACAAGTGATTTGAAGGAGCACTCTCTCTATGTTATCAGCAGCTTTGTGTGCTACTGTTTGATTACTACATGTTATTGTGAATTAGTAATATTTTCATGCATCTTTTCTGTACTGTTTCAGTGTGCCTCTTGTTTTGCTCACTTTTCAATGGTGAGATATAAATAAAACTAGTAAATATTATTTTCTGATTGATTCATTGTCATCATTAGACTTCACACAAAAAAAGATTGCAACTCAAAGATGCTGATTGGTTGATTTGTTTGTATATGTTTTAAAAAGGAACTCTGGTTATGTTTAGTAAACTGACAAATCAATGAAACCGGGTCATTTTTTCTTGATCTGAGAGTTTTCATCCAATTGAGGGTACATATGACAAGTTTATAGATGGTGAGGGTAAAAATAACTCTATTTTAACGATAAAGGCATAGTCAATTGATAAATCAAAGTTGAAGATATTTTTGACCTTTTTCCCTTAACTAATTTACCAAACGATGAGTATTTGCGTACTTAGCCCAAAACAAAAGAGAAATTTCACCAAAAATTGTACGGTCTTTAAAGCCCAATGCCAACAAAATATAAACAAAGCCTAGTCCATCAACCCAAATCTTTTGATAAAATATGCCTCATCCCAATTTGGGTGTGTGGTACCGAGATGCTTTGAAAAATATTTTTCTACAAAAAAAAAGTTTTTTCTTATAGCAAATTTACCACTAGATAGTGTCTAGTGACCTTTTATTAAACATAAAAATAAATCATTAGGGATAAGTACAAGGAAGGGGGGTTAGACCTTGCTAATCCTAATCAAGTAGGAAAAAACAAGTTCCTTAAGTGAAACCTTAAGTTCATTGTCTCCACACCCCAAACCCAAACACCCTAACCCCTCTTTTGACCACCCATCCCACCGCCTCGTGAACCCCGGCTCCGCCATCACATTTCAACTCATACTATTTTTTTTAGATTATATATAAATACACTTGGATAAAAAAAATTCTCACTTACTAAATATTAAAAAATTGAATAATAAGTGCAGTTGTTTTCCTATATATTGTTCACAGAAATGGACCTAAATAAACTTGGATTTTTGAATCTAACCAGTAATCTATTTTCCTGTAAAATGGAGATGGAGTGTGAAAATTTTATAAATAACATATATAAGACTAATAATTTCAAGTTATGACAGTATAATAAAACTTTCATGTTGTAATAATAAAAAATTTCAGGTTATAACAGTTTATTAAAAAAAGTTTAAATAATAATAAAAAATGAATTTTAAAAAATAATAAAAAGTAAAAAACAGAATTAGTTGTAGTAATTAATTTGAATACATTAATGATAATTCATAATTGCCATAAATTTAGGAGATTCAAAACAAAACAGGAATATTTGTTTTTCTTTTTTTACTCTAATAAGTTAAAATTATTTCAAAAACCAGATTTTCTTCTTTTGTTCAAATTTTTCTCTTTCTCGACTTCGAATATTTATACAGGTTGGATACCAACTTCATACATTTTCATTTTTTTAGTTTTTGTCTTAGATTATGAAGTTAAAAAAAAACAATCATATATGAATTGGATACCAATTTTATACAAATTGAATACCTGACACTCTTATTTCATGTAATCTAAATTGTTGTTCATTTGGTTT